TTTTATTTTTTATTTTTTATTTTTTTGTCCTCGTGAGAAAGACTGAGAAATATATACACTCTCAGCATTCAGCCTGCGATACGAATGTCTAACAGAAATAAAAACCAGTGTGATTCTATGGCTTGTGCTGTGGCACAATTCAATTGTTTTTGTACGTTTTTAACTATTTTCATATTACTTTCTCCAAATACCCACAATAACCAAAACCAAGCCTAAACCCAGAATCTCAGCTCAGGGAGCTTTGCGAAGGAGTGGTTGTGATCATATGATTTGTTCTTTCTTGTTTCATATTATTTAGTACTTTCAAATAAACATCTAAAGAATTATGTTTGTTATTAAGCTACCACATCCTCCAAGAAGTTGTTAAAATGGCATGTGCAAGAGGGTTGCCCATCTGAATACTTCAAAATATATTAAGTATTTATTTTACTTTTAGTTCAAATATAATCAAAATAATTGTGTATATATTTTTTTCTTTTAAAAAGAAAACGGGAAATGTTACTGACATGCGTATTCAGTAGATGTCAGTATTACTAATTACGAATGACCAAGAAAAAATACATTGGCATTTACTAAATGAATTTAATGGTAATATTGCAGAGAATTGGGCCTATTATGAATAGATGGAGAGATTTTGGTTGTTTTGTTACTGCAAGAGCAAGGGTGCTTCACGATTTGTTACACAAATATATTTAAGGTCAGCAAAAGCGAGAGCACAAGTATTGTGCGTATTACAAATAAACAACAGCATTCAAACAAAATCATGCCAGTAAATTCAAACGCATGCTATGGGTGGTAATATTACCATATTACTACATATTGCACATTAATATTGTACGTTACTACTGTACATACATGTGGAATACTACATATTCGAACGCATGCTACCAGAGTGGGCGGCATTGGTCAGCTGCATGGCAGGGGTGAGATTTTCAGTTCGATACAAGCCCGCACACACATGCACAATTTATTATTTTGTAAATAGTATGTAGGGTTTGGTACCCTAACGCTTTTCATGTACAGTAGCTAATTTTAGGTTTATATGGAATACTATACTTTTGACATAAGAGAGTCTGAAAGCGTGAGCGTCACGACAGATGCGTGAGAGTTGGGGACCCTGTGTGAGTTCTTCAGCTGACATTTAGCTTTGGTTAACATAGCATTTTAAAGATCATCAGTGATCACCTTTCAGTATTATCACTAGTGCGACATAGAATCATTTTAAGCATAACCTGTTAAATAATCAGAACACTGTTTTTCATACTCACCCTCCCGACACAGTCTTAGTTAAAGTCCTATAGGGTCCATAGTTCTCCATTACGTCCGCGCCGTATCCTTCACCCGCGGTCGTCTCTCCGCGGCCGAAAGCGTAGCCGGAGCTGTCACCGCGACTTTTCTCCAAGCTATGGAATTTAATTTGTGAATCGTAGAAACTCATTTTTATTCCAACATATGAGGCGGGGAAAAAAGCAAAAGAAAAACAAGCGACAGGAAAGCAAATCAAACCAGGACGACGGCGCTATAAAGTAAACTACTCATCCGACTGTGAATGTCTCCGTCGCAGCGCACGGAGGATTGAGTTACCGACACGGAAGGCGAAGCGTATCTCAAAGTATAACTTGTTCCCTTTTTACCTTCACGTCCACACCTAAAAACGCCCCAGGGCGTTATCACGTTAGGGGGAGGGTTGTGTGTGTGTGCATGTGCGTGTGTCGGATGCCTCAGTTCTCACGGTCAAATGGGCTGCTCTTCGAATAAATTTTTCATGAGTTTTGTTATTTTAGGTGGTAGCCTGACATAGCAAGCCATGTCATGACACTGAAAACAAGTCATTGCAGCACTGGTGATGGTGTCAGAAAAATAATAATTCACCATGCCTTTAGTTCGGGTTTGCCTATTTATCTATTTATTTGTTTGTAAAGGTGAATTGTTCCATTAAAAAACGTTACAAAGAAGTTGTTGGTCATTGGTATGCCTCATTAAAAATCATGGTGTAATTCTAAAAATTTATTTTTAAAATGTCATTATTACAATATACCGACAAGACACAAATAGCCTAAATAAGTTAGCACACGTTCCAGCGTTTGATCAGAGCAATCCTTCACAAACTAATTTATATCTAAGAGAATTATCGTCTTTGAAAAGAAACTGCATCCTTTGTCATGTGTCTGTTCTGCTATGAACTGAATCATTTGAGCCATTTGAAAATTCATAGATTAGGCTGGCTTGTTATGAACCTTGGACACAGTCCGCTTCTTTCTCTAAAGGTGTGGCCGACCAGTGTTAATTTTGACAGCGTATTTTGATTTAGTTTTAATCTTTTGACGAAAATGCAATTTAGTATTAGTCATATTTTACTCATTTGTTGAAGTCTTTTATTTTTTAGTTTTAGTAGACGAAAATTACTATATTCAGTTGACTAAATTTGCAGTATATGCAGTCAATGAAACTATAACAGGTTTAGTCATAGTCTAATACATCATTTTCATTTCTTTGAAAATTTCACTAATCTCAGTAGGCTAGTCTGTGTGCCTGTGATCAGAAGGTCGCTGATTCGAACCCACTCTCAGCACATCTGCGGGTCCTTGAGCAAGGCCCTGGGAGTCCCAACAGGTGGCTTTACTTACTCTTACTCTTGCCTGCAAAGACAATTAAGTTGGGGGAGGCGTAAAGATAATTTCCCCACGGGGATAAATGAAGTATCAACTATTGTTATTATTAATTTTCTGTGTGTTCACACCCGCACACACACGCAAACACAGATTATTGTGGCTCTATCCACTTTTGATTCCTGAAGAAAAGAAATATAAATTAGCTCACATTGAGGTATACCATAGTTTTGAACATGTGGTCTTTAGGGACATGATTAAACTGATGTAAGTCTAAAAAATGTAATATGAAACATTGCATTAATTCAATAATAGCTTTATATGAATTTTATTTATCGTAAAATAAATAACACATCTTCATTCATATTAGGCGTAGGCCTATAAGAAAAAACACCAGCGCAGTTAGTGATTCCTGCTCTCGAGTTAGATTGGTGTTTAATTCGAGGGCACGAATTACTGACTCAGCAACACGAAATAATAACTGGAGTGCACGAATTAGTATCTCGAGAGCACGAATTAGTACGAGATAATATTTTGTTGTACCATGACACCTAAGGAGCTCCGCAGTGGTAATTCGTGCGCTCGAATTACTAACTGGAGCGAACGAATTAGTAACTGGAGACCACGAACTACTATTTCCGACTGGATTATTTTCAAATTTGTGTTTTCCTGACGTTTTCTTTTCCGTTTTGATTTGCTGAAGTGTTAGTACATTTCATCATAGCTGTTGGCATATTTTTTCAATATCGTCTCATGTTCAACAATTAAAGATCTTCATCGACGAATAATTTTCGTCATAGTTTTCGTCAGCGAAATTTACACTGTGACCGACATTTTGTAAACCGCAGATAATTATTACATATGCTGTCAACGATAATGCATACCCCTGAATGAGTTGACTTGCAACCGTAAACATTCTCTGTTCCAATGAATAGGAAGTTGCTGTTGTGCCTTGGGGAATGTGCGAAACCTGTGACTTAATTAGTATCCATGCAAAACAACGTAAAGCTGTAGGCGATTATAGTCTGTCTGGATATAGCAATAAACGCGCTAATAAATATATGGTAATTAGTTTGAATTCTGACAGAAATGAAGCATAGCGTACTGCCAAGGGGTTCAGCCCATAACCAGGGTGCTCCCAGTCGGCCAAGAGCCTCGCCTTTCGTTTTAATCCTTTACAGTTTAGCACAGCTTCATCAGCAGGGAGGAGGCTCTACACACTGGTTACACGTGGTACAAGTATCTCAACAACTACTACTTAGGTCTATCCAACATTTATTTTTTTGTCCTCGTGAGAAAGACTGAGAAATATATACACTAAAATATGCTGTACATTTGTGCAGTTAGGCTATTAGTTGCAGGTAGGCGGCTGCCGTTTTTACCATAGGATAACTTGGCTTTCCCATTCTAATAAACAGGTATTATGAAACATAAATCAGGAGGGTGTGTTGTACGCAAATTAAAAGGAGTTTCCACAGAGCATGAATCAGGGCAACAGAATCTGAAGGGCAACACCATTAGCATCCCACCCTTAGCTGTAGGATTAGCTCCTGAATTCATTATCTTGATAGAAATAGATGAGTGGTTATTCATTAATTTGCTTGTACCCATTTGTTCTATGGAGGCTTGCAGAGTTAATCCTGTAAGCGAGACAGGGAATAATTGCAGGGTACACACCGTTCGTGCAGTTTGCTGCGATATATGTGGTGGATGGGGGGGACCAAAGAACTCTAAAGAAACCCAACAATGACATGGGGAGAATATGCAGACTCCACACAAATAGAGCCGGCCCATTTACAAATGTTATGTTTTCTTTCACTGTAAATGCAACGTTCTAATCCTCATGACTGAGGACCAGCCCTACCTTTACAGAGGCCCTAGGCAAAGCTTTATTTGGGAGGCCCCTGTACCAAAAAACTGATGGTTATTATACTTTCTCCACAATGCAGGTAGTTCAGGGGCCCTAAGTAACTCCATAGAGTGGAGGCAGTGGTGGCTTGATGGTTAGGGACGTGCACTTGTAATTGAAAGGTTGCAGGTTCAAATCCCCAACCAGCAAGGCACCACTGAGGTACCCTGAGCAAAGTACTGCTCCCCGGGTGCTGAATTAGCTGCCCCCTGCTATGTCACGAAAGCTCACATGTTGGTCAAATGCAGAGGACACATTACATTTGTGTGTTGACACTGATCACTAAATTCTAATAGAGATAGAGCCAGCCCTGCAGTAAGTAATCAGACATATCATACCAAATTTGGAATCATCATATGTTATATTACTGCTCTGTAACCAAAATTACAGAGAGATCTGTTTTGCTGTTGGAACGTTTGCAGGTGGCACAGTGGTTAGCATGGTTGCCTCACACCTCTGGGATTGGGGTTTGAGCCTCGCCCATGGCTCCATGTTTGTGGGGTTTGCATGTGCTCTTTGTGTCATTGTGGAGTTTCCAGTAGGTACTCAGGTTTCCCCCCACAAGCCAAAAACATGAGGTTAAGTGGAGTTGCCAAATTGCCCACAGTTTTGATGGGTTGGCACCCCATTCTGGGATGTTCCCTGCCTTGTGCTTGTAGGCTCTGGATGCCCCCCAGGACCCCCCCCAACCATAAATAGGATAAGTGGTGACAGAAAGTGGATAGATGGAAATTGCCCATAGGTGTGAATGGTGTGTGTGAGTGTGCCCTGTGGTGGGTTGATTCCCCACCTTTCAGACAATCGATGTATGGAAATTGAATTTCTAACTTTGTTGCGCTCTACTGAATTTGATGTTAGAAGATGAATAGATGGATGTAACATTGTAAGAACATGGAGGTAATGAACTGAACGATCTGATCGTGCTTGGATCCCTGTGTAGGGCAGCACTGAGAACCAAAGCTCGAACTTAATCCACATTTATCCTCGGTGTCGTCATTAGACTTGGCTCCCCCTGTGTATTATTTGTTTAGCTCCAGTCCAGCATATTTGACACATACATGTTATCATTCATAAGCGAATAAATATCTAGTGGAGTGTAGTCTGGCTGGCTGGCCCTGGCCACTGCGGCTGTTCGCAGCTCAGCGGCCCTACAGATATCGAGCCGCCATGTATGCAGGTGTGATCAGGGTGTGTTAGACATTTGGTTGTTTGGTAATAGTGCACCCTTAGTTAATGCAAAAGCCAAATACAAAGTTGATTTGAATACAAGGTGCATTACAAAAGAAAATATCATGGGTAGGTGTTTTCAGGATTTTTATGAGGTTAAGTGAAAGCTTTTAAGTGCATAAACAAGCAGAAATGCAGACAGAGCGAGCCAGTGTGTGCATTGAACTGCCAAAAACAATTCTGACTGACTTTTCCAGTTTTGCTACTTTGAAGAAGCCTGGCACTATTTATCGATTGTTTTGCACGCATCTGCCGCGCTGAGAGTTGGAGGGGGCAGCCTTTTTCTCTCCGTGCTGGGTGTGCCAGCCAACACCCTACTGCAGTATTTCACTCCTAAACCGCACCCTGAGCCAGGGGCCTGGGAAGTACCCCTCCGCTCACCCTCATGAGGGTGACATTTCTCCAGTTTCACTGTCTTTAAAATTAGGGAGCAGTTCTTGTCAAAGCATATTCATACTGCTAGATATTTTTATCAAAACAATTTGGAACCAGAATTGTTGATTTATTGCCAAGTACTTTTATGTAAGAGGAATTTACTTTGGGGTGTCATGCTAAACAGTCAGCGATCAAGACAGTGAAGTACATACTTCTCAGCACTGCAACTTACATGCTGCCCCATGCATTTGTCTGTGATGTCATACTGACTGCTAGGTTTAAGGGTCTCTTCCTGGACATGGAGTACAAATTGAGGTATCTTATAATATTACCTGTCATTTAGAATTAGGATTAGACTTAGGCTTTAATTAACTTTATTTAACCCGAAGAGGAATTCTAGGGAAATTCTCTTTATTACAGCACTGTGGCCTCCAAGGTTGAGGGTTTGATTCCTGCCCTTTGGTCTGCATGCATGGAGTTTGCATGTTCTCTCCTTGTTT